CAAGGAAGAAAAACGAGAAGAAGGCAAAGAAGGAAAAGTAAACAGTATGAAACAGTTGGTGTCCAGTTTACCTGCTTCCAAGTTCGACATCGTCAAGTATCAATGAATTTTCGACAAAGTTGAGGAGTCCAACCAAAAACTGTATCAACGCTAATGCTATAATACCGCTTCGTAAGACGCATTTTTTCTTTGCCGGTTCTTCAAAATCCATTTGGTTTTAAACCTCCTATACATAGATCAGTTTCTTATTTTTTTTTTTTTATTCAATAAGTTGAAATTTTTTGCAATTTTTTTGCAAAGATTATCATAACAAAAAGTGGCAGACAGTTATGATGACTAAATGTATTATTGATCAGCAACAGATTCAAACATTATCCATTAAAAAACAAAGACTTCGTATATGAGACTTAGCATCAATCTTGTACAATTATAATTCTGACTTATGACACCAATTCAGATGATAACTGTTGAGCAATTGGAAAATAAAAAGCTAAAAAACGGTATTTTTATCGAATTCTCATTAAAAGTCGATGAAATGACTTTTTTTTAATCAATATCTTTTTAGTAATTGCTCTATTTGATAATAATTTTTTGTATTGCTGAAGAATAAGCAGTATTTAAGTTGATCCAATTTCAGCTTAGTAACAGCACTGCACCTTCTTTTGTTTGCCTTACATTTTGCTTATTTTTAGAATTTGTAATAAAATACTTTGCATGTTTAATACCAATTAAATAAGTAAAATAAAAACAAAAATGAAATTAAGAAAGCATATGACTAATCTGCACAACAGAATAGTTGTTGACTTAATTCGTCAACAACGTGACTGCCATCTGATAGGAAATCGTACCAGAAAATTTTTAGCTTTATAAATCTTACTGTTCATATTACAATAAATCAACACTGAATTTCCAAGTTCTGAGTTACAAAAAATAATAGAAAAAAAACCAGAAAAAAAGCGAAACAAAATAAAAGAAGAAGAAAATGTGATAACTGTATAGTTGCATAGAGCAGACAATATTTATCAGTTTTTATAAGTTCATTAAGGATTAAAATGGCACAAAAAGTAACAGTTTAGCTAAAAGATTAGAATTTTTGTTGAATTTCCTACTGTGTACTGTTGATCAGCGTCAACTGATCAAGAGTTTATATGTTCGGGTAGTGATATAATTTTGCGACGATATTTTGATAATTTGCTTCTATCGTAATTGCCAATAAAATAGTTGATAATAGCTTTTCTTTTTTTATTTTGAAGTGGAATTGGGGTAAAATAATACTGTGTTAAACAGAAAAACTGTTTGTAATTTGATCACCTTTTTGTGTTTCGTATTTCCGCTAAACGATAACTTATCCATCATCAACAGTAATCGAACGCCATAATTAAACATAGTATTCAACTGCATTGCTTTTTTATTTTTTGTCTTTTATTCTTTTTATTTAAATAGCCAAATTTTGAAATTGTTAACTGAAGTTTATTCACTGATTGCAACTTTTCAGATTCTACGCCAAATTCATAAATGGAAATATATATATATATTTATTTGTATATATCATCCTAAATTTTACTCTAAAAAGGTAGAACAATTCTGTTAACTTTTATTTGGCTTTTTTAAAAAAAAAATCTGGTAATATAAGACGGATTTTAGAAAAAAATCAAAAGAAGTGCACTTACCATTACTCCTAATTTTATCACATTATTTCCGCTTTTAATTTTGAATATTTTTTGCTGCTGTAACCATCGAATTTTTGCTGCTACTTCTGCTGTTGCAGGTGATAATGCTAAAAAAGAAAGGAGATCTAATAAAAAGTTGGCTAAAAATTATGGTATCAATCTAAAATTATTAATGTAATATGTGGTTAAATAAAAAAATATGAAGAATTAATTCAGTGTCGAAATTTAATGCTTTGCAATTGATGTTTTTTATATATAGATTTAATTTCCAATAACTGAACATACCTGAAGAATCAGAAAAGAAAAATGGAAAAAAAGAAGGGCTCAGCCAATTTAAGATGCCATAGAATTAACATCCATAAATGCTCTGATCTCAACATAAACAGCACCTAATTGCAGTATCAACAGAATGATTAAACTGCAGAGGAACAGTAACCAATAGAAATCGGTATTACTGAATGCACTGGGAATAATTGTTAAAACAAAATAGGTTAAAATAAAGCCAAAAAAGCACACCTAAAAAAAGACAACTGTTAGAAGGTTGTTTCTGGTGGTTTTTTTGGTTTTTTAGTAAGATAAAAAAAGCAGCTTATTGTCAAACATCACGTGTTAATTTTAAACAGTTTACTAAAAATAACTTCATGCAACCAATAATTTAAAACTAATTGATAATACTCATTGATTTAATTGTTGAACAGCTAATAAAGAAAATTATGTTTGCATATATTTATTGAGAAATTATTTTGTATCCATTTATGACAATACAACTATTTGAAATTGTTCAAAACTAATGTTATTTATTTGTTAGGAGCTATCTCATACTGCAATACAGCTTTTATTCTACATAACATTCGATTTAACTCTGTCTGGTTTTCTTCTGGAGACTAGACAGAGGTAAAAAATGACCAAGAGGTTTTGTCAGAAGCGCTTATTGTGGCGGTTGAAAAAAAGAAGAAGAAAAAATGGCAAAATTTTCAAAAAAATTTTTTTTGTGTCAATAATTTTTCTACAGGTTGTTTTATATCCAAATAACTCTTCTAGACTATTTGGGTAATACAGACTAATTGAGCTACTCTTCGGTAGACTAAAAGTTATAATTTATTTATAATTTATAGTTATGCTACTGCTTCTTCTATTTTTTTAGCCTAACAGCTTTACCTGATTAAATGCATAATGTAAAAAATGGGGGAGACAAAGGTGACGGTTGGCTCTTACCCGAACAATTATATGTGGCAACATTAGCATAGCATTATGCCTTGAAAAACCCATATATGTATAGGCTGTTGTGGCTATCGATAAGAAACTAATAATACAAACCATTATAAGTGGTATACTGAAATAGCGGTTTATTAATCAATTAAGTTTCTTCATCTTTCTAAATCAACAAGCTTAATTGACAATTTTAGACTACTATATGCTGACTTTATTAATGATTTATCAACACTTCGATTAATCAGTTAATGCCGTTTGAAAATTGAAAAAAAAAAAGAATTGATGTACCAAAGTCCTGCAGTTAACCAATATGTATTAGTTAAGTGCAGAAAACAATTTTGAAATTGGATACTGTCAGCTGATCAGTTTTTTTT